CACACACACACACACACACACACACACACACACACACACACACACACACACACACACACACACTCGGCTCCTTTAAAGTTCTGATTTACATACAAATATTCAAACTTAGTTTCTGACGTCATTTCTGAATCAAACGAGTGAAAAATAAAACCTCCTCGGCTCTAAAACTGAGTTTCTGTTTAACACTTTTCCTTAAACACACGAGGTCATCGACAGGTGCGACAGGTGCGACAGGTGCACTTCTCTCACCTTTTCTCACAGCTCAGTTCACACCTGCTCCCTCCCCGTCTCTGTCTCTCTACTGCTGGTTTAGTTCTGTTTTGGTCTTGGTTTAGACCTGGTTTAGACCTGGTTTTAGACCTGGTTTAGACCTGGTTTAGACCTGGTTTAGACCTGGTTTAGTCCTGGTTCAGTCCTGGTTCAGTCCTGGTTTAATTCAGGTTTAGTCCAAGGTTTAGTCCAAGTTTAGTCCAAGTTTAGTCCAAGTTTAGTCCCAGTTTTAGTCCTGCTTTAGTCCTGCTTTAGTCCTGGTGTAATCCCAGTTCAGTCCAGGTTTAGTCCTGGTTTTAGTCCAGGTTTAGTCCTGGTTCAGTCCTGGTTTAGTCAGTCAGGTTTAGTCCTGGTTCAGTCCTGGTTTAGTCCAGGTTTAGTTTAGTCCTGGTTTAGTCCTGGTTTAGTCCTGGTTTAGTCCTGGTTTAGTCCAGTCTTTAATCCCTGGTTTAGTCCTCTGGTTTAGTCCCTCGTTTAAGTCCTGGTTTAGTCCTGGTTTAGTCCTGGTTTAGTCCTGGTTTAGTCCTGGTTTAGTCCAGGTTTAGTCCTGGTTTAGTCCTGGTTTAGTCCTGGTTTAGTCCTGGTTTAGTCCAGGTTTAGTCCTGGTTTAGTCCTCGTTCTTTTACATAACTTGAGCTACATTGCACAAAATATCACCAAAATTGCTCAAAAGTTTGTGTATTTTGTGACACATTTTTAATTTCTGTTTTGTTTTGTTTTGGATCATTTTAACAGAAATAAACTCTGATCCAAACTCTCCCACCTGAGCTGCTGACGTACGTTTCCGTCTCTTACACCTGCTCCGTTTCTCTCTTTCTCTCCACAAATTCACCTCAACTTTTTCCTGAACTTCTCCAAAAACTCCAGACTCAGAGAAACGACTGGTGCAGACTCCAGGTCCGACCTCGACCACAGACGCACAACGACCTGAGTGAAGAACAATGTGCTCCTTCACTTGACCCGCTTCTGTCGCACTCAAGTCCACAACACGTTTCTCTCCACTAATACACGACATTTATCTTCATCTCCGAGCAGTTTCCAGCGTAAATATACTTAAGAAGTACTTCAGATTTGGCAGTTTAGAGTAAAAGTCGTATTTCCTCTTCCCAAAAAGCTTCACGTGACAAAATGAAACGATTTAAACTTTTGTATTTCTTATTTTTTCATGTTTTGTCCTTCCGATACATCTCGAATTTCGGACTTCAGGTCATCGCGCGATCCACACTGGGAAGGATTTTCCGAAAAAGTGAGCGTCAAAGTGGATCTTTTCAAGTCTTTTGAACCAAGTCACTTTTGTTTCTGGTTCTGATATTGTCATATTTTAGTTTTGGGATTCGGACGTCGTTAATTGTTGTGGTTGTTGGATCCAAACAGCGGAAAACGACTCGAGAAATTTGTTTGTGAACTTCATAAATGTGAAAGTGAATCAGATGTGTGTGACTCAAACCTCTGTTCAAACTGTTTCTCTTCCCAACGGAATTGAAAAATAGTGAAAGGTGAAGGTGATGGGCAGGATTGATCCACAGGAAGAACCAAAAAGGAAACATTTGTCTGACTAAATCATCCTGAGTTTACAGAGAACATTTTGTATGTGGAGCGACAACAAAAACAAAATCTCGATCCCTCACTCGGTCTTGGTTATAAAATTTAAAAAGTCGACACCAAAGTGAAAGTCTCCAACTGTTCACCAAGAAACACCTTCCACTGCAAAGACCAAGACGTGATGTTTGTGTAAAACCACAAGAACAAGAAAGTGCAGCTCAGTCTGTTTGTCTTCTGCTCCTCTACATTAACAAACAGGATTTTGTTTTGTCGTGGCTCCACATACAAAATGTTCTCTGTAAACTCAGGATGATTTAGTCAGACAAATGTTTCCTTTTTGGTTTCTTCCTGTGGATCAATCCTGCCCATCACCTTCACCTTTCACTATTTTTCAATTCCGTTGGGAAGAGAAACAGTTTGAACAGAGGTTTGAGTCACACACATCTGATTCACTTTTGCATTTATGAAGTTCACAAACACATTTCTCGAGCTGTTTTCCTGCTGTTTGGATCCAACAACCACAACAATTAACGACGTCCGAATCCCAAAACTAAAATATGACAATATCAGAACCAGAAACAAAAGTGATATGGTTCAAAAGACTTGAAAAGATCGACTTTGACAATAGACAAAATCCCACTGGGAAAACAAACATGGAGGTTTGATGCTCACTTTTTCAGAAAATCCTTCCCAGTGTGAATTGGGCGATGACCTGAAGTCCAAAAATTGGGATGCATGTATTACTCGAGTACTCGCCAGTCCCCAAATACTTTTTTTTTATGTAGTACTTTCTTGCACCAACAAACTTTGTACCAGAGTTTGGACAATGTCGTCGTTTTGCAAGTCTCAAGTCTTTGACCTTCAAGTCCAAGTCGAGTCCCAAATCTTAGTCCATTTTATCAAGTCAAGTCTCAAGTCCTAAAAACAGTCACTCAGGTCTGACTCGAGTCCAAGTCCCCCCCTCTGGTTTCTCTTCCCGCTGTGAGTGACAAAAGTTTTACGCCACAATATGAAATTATTTGTGCTTTTGTATTTATTTTTCCATATTTTGTCCTTCCAGTTACATTAACTTCCTGACAGTTACTCGAGTACTACGCAGTCACTAAATACTTTTTTGTTTTATGAAGAACAAACTTTGTGAGCAGAGGTGGGACCAAGTCATTGTTTTGCGAGTCTAGAGTAAGTCTCAAGTCCAAGTCAAGTCCCAAGTCAAATACAGACAAGTCCAAGTCGAGTCTCGAGTCACTGACCCATAAGTCCAAGTCAAGTCAAGTCCCAAGTCAAATACAGACAAGTCCAAATCGAGTCTCGAGTCACTGACCCATAAGTCCAAGTCAAGTCCCAAGTCAAATACAGACAAGTCCAAGTCGAGTCTCGAGTCACTGACCCATAAGTCCAAGTCAAGTCCAAGTCCCAAGTCAAATACAGACAAGTCCAAATCGAGTCTCGAGTCACTGACCCATAAGTCCAAGTCAAGTCCAAGTCAAGTCCAAGTCGCCTGCTTTGAGTTTCAAGTCATTTCAAGTCTTTAAACCAAAAAAGCACCAAATACAGTTTAGATTTTTACAATTTGTATGAATTTTAAGATAAATTGTTGTTAAAAAAACATAGTATATTTATATTTGATTATTCATATAAGAGAATTACTTTTTTCCCTTTTTAAATGTCTTGACAAGATCTTAGTGTGAATCATTAAAGTCAGAACAGAAAGAAGTAAGTCTCAAGTCTTTGACCTCAAGTCCAAGTCAAGTCCAAGTCGTCTGCTTCGAGCTTCAAGCCATTTCAAGTCTTTAAACCAAAAAAGCACCAAATTTAGCTTAGATATTTGCAATTTATATGAATTTTAAACTAAATTCTACTTTAAAAAATATCATTTCTTTACAGTATTTACAGTAACAGTTGTAGAAATGTTAATTATTTTATTTTTAAAAGTCTTGACAAGATCTTAAAGTGAATCATTCTGGTCAGAACAGAAAAAAATTCTGATTTAAAAGTACTTCAACTCTTCAAGTCACAGACCTCAAGTCCGAGTCAAGTCCCAATACAAATACAGACAAGTCCAAGTCGAGTCTCGAGTCACTGGTCCATAAGTCCAAGTGCTTTGAACTTCAAGTCATTTCAAGTCTTTAAACCAAAAAAGCACCAAATATAGTTTAGATTTTTGCAGTTTATATGAATTTTAAGATAAATTGTTGTTAAAAAAAACATAGTATATTTATATTTGAGTATTTATAGAGTAAATAAGAGGTGTAGAAATTAATTTTGTTGAATTTTTTCTTTTTAAAAGTCTTGACAAGATCTTAAAGAGAATCATTACGTCAGAACAGAAAGAATTCAGATTTAAAAGTGCTTCTCGAAACCTCAAGTCTTTGACCTCAAATCCGAGTCAAGTCCCAAGTCGTCTGCTTTAAGCTTCAAGTCATTTCAAGTCTTTAAACCAAAAAAGCACAAAATTTTGTTTAGATTTTAGCAATTTATATCAATTTTAAGATAAATTGTACTTAAATTGTATGTAAAAATCATAGTAGATTCATATTTTAGTATTTATAGAGTTTGAATTAAGTAGAAATTTATTGAATTACTTTCTTTTCATGTTTAAATGTCTTGACGAGATCTTAAAGTGAATCATTACGGGAAGAATTAAAGAATTCAGATTTAAAAGAGCTTCTCAAGTCCGAGTCGAGTCCCAAGTCTTAGTCCATTATTTTAATCAAGTCAAGTCTCAAGTCTTAGAAACAGTGACTCAAGTCTGACTCGAGTCCACGTCCCCGCCTCTGCTTTGTACTTCTACTTTTGTACAATTTTATATTTGCAAACTCCAAACACATTTTGTCCAGCGTCGATTCCAAATCAAGTCAACAGCGTCTCAACTTTTATCAAAAGTCAAACACGGCGGATTAAAAGTCAAAAATGGGCGTCAGCAAAAATGTAGAAAACAGGCCAACAACAATTTCAGCTGAGTGAAGATTTTGAGACAATTCCACCAAAAATAATCTTACAAATCCGTTTCCAAAAAGAGCCACGCGCGGGGCGGTGGTTGCAAATGTAAAATAATAATTAAAAAACCCCGTCACGTAATTCGGTAACTCCGTAATTCCCAGGGTCACACGGCGGTTGTCAGTGACCGTAGCGCCCGTGGGAAACGCCGGGGTGTCAGTGCGCGTCGGGCCCGCCTCGCCTCGTCTTACCTTCGGACAGCTCCAGCTCCAGCTCCGCCAGCTTCTCCCGGACCTCCGCGGGCAGTGTCATCCCCACGCCGGGCTCCAGCATCACGGCGGAGCTCCTCTCGGCCATGGCGCTCCGGGAAACGTCAACAAATAAGATCCAAAAAAAAAAAACACAAAAAAAAAAAAGCGAGAGAGAGAGAGAGAGAGAGAGAGAGAGAGAGAGAGAGAGAGAGAGAGAGAGAGAGAGAGAGAGAGCAGGGAGGGGAAAGGAGAAAGAAAGAAAGAGTCGCCAGGTGTGGTTGGTTTTACGCGCTCGGGCACCGGAGAGTCCGAGTTTAACCCGCACGGTTCAGTCCGGGTTGAGTCATAGTTTAGACCTGGTTTGGACCTGGTTCTAGACGCATGGTTTAGTCCCGGTTTCTGGTTTCAAAAAAATAATAATAATCCAGAGGTGAGTGTCATGTAAGTGCAACGTAGTGCGCGCGTGTGCAGAAGCAAGAAAATAATAAAAGAATCGATTCCTCCCGAGTTCGTTCAGGGGTGTGGGTGCTCCCGTGGGCTCCTCGCGCGCCGCTGCAGATGTGAGGCAAACGTGTCCGAAGCGTCATGACTCGACTAGCTCCCGGGCTAACGACGGCGCTCCGGCCGCGCGGGTCGCTCGGTGCGCGCGGCGGCGGCGGGTTGGAGCGGGTGACGCGGCGCCGTCTGGGGAGCGCGCAGCCGTAGCCTCGCGTGCAGAGGGAGGTCCAGCCGCACGTCGCTCGAGTCTGGACACAACTCATTCAACAACTCCTCGATCCCTCCCTCCTTCCTACGTCCTTCCCTCCTTCCTCCCTCCTCCCTCCCTGCTCCCGAGGGCCTCGGTGCGCCTCGGTGCGTCATTGCGTCACCAGCGGCAGCGGCAGTGCTGGTCGTGCTCGTGACAGCTGTGTGCGTGCGTGTGCGTGTGCGTGAGTGTGCGCGTGGACTGATGTGAGCGTGAGGATGTGGAGCGTGCGCCCTCTGCTGGACAGGGGTGCGCGCGCACACAGAGGCTCTGGTTTAGTTTTTCTCTTTGGTTTGTTTCATTTGTTGAAAGAGACAATTTAAAAAAATGTTCTGCACAAATGATTTCAATTCAAATACGACCTGAAGTTATTTCTCAGTTTAATGTTTTTTCTCTCCAAAAACATGTTGGATTTTATTGTTTAATTCAGGAAACTCAAACTCAGGGGCCAAAATGAAAAACTGGGACTAAGTCGTGGGTCAAACTAAATATTTACTGAAAAATTTCAAGAACATCTGCATGTTTTCTCTTCTTTCCAGATCTGTAATGTTCAACCTTTTCTTATTCAAATAAATATTCCATAATAGTTTTGCTTAAACATTAATCCAGAACAAACAGAATATAAAATAATAAAAACATTTTAAATAAATCATGTGTCTATAGTCGATCTGTGTGCATGTGTTTGATTTGATCTCATGGGACAAATATAATTATATCATGGACCAACTTTGGCCCCCGGGCCTGAGTTTGACCTGTCTGCACAATCGTCTGTTCAATGATCAGAATTAATCAAGAACATAACATCATAAACTCCATGTATGAATCTGACACAGATCATTTGATAAATTCATGACACTATTTGTCTGTAAATTAGAACTTCTTCTCACACTAGAGGCGTTTTCAGGCCGACAGAACCGAGCCGGTGCCGGTTCCTGCACCTAATCTTGAACCGACTCACGTGTTCACGCAGGAAATCAGTTCAGAAACCGAGAAGTTGGTTCAGTGAAAACAGAAGACGTCAGCACGAGCTCGTTCATCCAGGTCACACGCGGGAAAATAAACAAAGAGAAACTGAAACTATCACGTATTAAATTAAAAGTTTAATGTCTACAAAAACTATTACGTTCTCCTGATAAGATTAAATCTTTGTATCGTCGTCTTCTCCACAGCAGATCCATGTTGTGTCAGAACTCGGCACAGAAATATTCTCTTGTATTATTTATGTGTCGATGATGTGATCCATGATGATTATTTCATCTGCTTTTGTATGACTTTGTTTTTATTTAGTGGTAAATCCGCTCTGTCGATGACGGGTCATAGGTTCATGGAAATAGTTTGAATGCAGCTCATTCACTGGTGAGAACTTTGGTTCCCTGAAAACAGCTTCTGTGATGATGTGGGACATTTGTGTGTAACTGTGTTTATGTGAAGTTGATCCGTGGCTCATCAGGGCCTGGTTCTCATGGAGCTTCTGCCTCCGGACTTTCCTTTCCTCAATCTGACTGAGGAGTTTGTTCCTCTCGGAGGTGGAGAGTGAATGAAACACTCCAAACATCACACAGTGAAAAGGAACGATTAAAAGATGATCGAGATGTTCACAAAGACGTCGCAGATAAACGTGGATCAGAGACGAGCAGAAGAGCCGTCGTGTGGTTTGGTGCAGTTTATTTTTCTACAAAGTACAAAGTCAAAATATCTCAAACAAACAAACAAATAACAGTTGTAATTAAAGGTGCACGGAGAACTGAAGTTATAAATACAATAATCCAATAACTGTTGAATATATTTATGTTTTTATCTGTGTTCAGCACTTTGGTCAGTTTGGTGCTTCATAAATAAACTGGATTTGGATTTGGATGTTAGAAAGTCGTTTCCTCGTCACAAACAGAACAGGAGTCGGAAAAAAACAAAATTCTTGCTGCTTCGTCAGTTCTTGAAGGGGATTTTACCCGACGACCCGGACTCATGTTTGGAACGAACCAAAACTCAACTCCAGGTCTGTTTTGTTTGTGACGAGGAAACGAGGAAAGATTCTAATTTGAGCCGTTTAACTGGAAAAACGCTGAACAAGTCTGAGTCCAGGTCCGAGTCGCAGACATCGACCAGAGAAGAGTTTTATTATTATTATTTTACAAACTCATATTTTAAAACCAACTGAAAACTGAAAAGTTTAAAAACTGAGAAACAAAACGGAGAAACTGATCCAAGAATCACATTCAGACCTGGTTTAGACCTGGTTTAATCCTGGTTTAGACCTGGTTTAGTCCTGGTTTAGTCCTGGTTTAGTCCTGGTTTAGTCCTGGTTTAGTCCTGGTTTAGACCTGGTTTAGAGTCCTGGTTTAGTCCCTGGTTTAGTTTAGTCCTGTTTAGACCTGGTTTAGTCCTGGTTTAGTCCTGGTTTAGTTTTCCTGGTTTAGTCCTGGTTTAGTCCTGGTTTAGTCCTGGTTTACCTGGTTTACCTGGTTTAGTCCTGGTTTGTTTAGTCCTGGTTTTAGTTTACCTGGTTTAGTCCTGGTTTTAGACCTGGTTTAGTCCTGGTTTTCCTGGTTTCCTGGTTTAGACCTGGTTTAGACCTGGTTTACCTGGTTTTCCTGGTTTAGTCCTGGTTTAGTCCTGGTTTACCTGGTTTAGACCTGGTTTAGACCTGGTTTAGACCTGTTAGACCTGGTTTAGACCTCCTGGTGGTTTAGTCCTGGTTTAGTCCTGGTTTAGACCTGGTTTACCTGGTTTAGTCCTGGTTTAGTCCTGGTTTAGACCTGGTTTAGTCCTGGTTTAGTCCTGGTTTACCTGGTTTAGTTTACCTGGTTTACCTGGTTTAGTCCTGGTTTAGTCCTGGTTTAGTCCTGGTTTAGACCTGGTTTAGTCCTGGTTTAGTAGACCTGGTTTAGACCTGGTTTAGTCCTGGTTTAGTCCTGGTTTAGTTTAGACCTGGTTTACCTGGTTTAGTCCTGGTTTAGTCCTGGTTTAGTCCTGTTTAGTCCTGGTTTAGTCCTGGTTTAGTCCTGGTTTAGTCCTGGGTGTGAGTACTACATTTCCGGGTATATATATATACATATATAAAAATATACACAGTATAAGTATATATAAAAAAAAAAACAGAAACAAATAAAACAGGATTTAAAGGGTCTGTGCCTGATTTTTTTTCTGTTTTAAACATAAAAAACAGAATTAAAAATCAGATAAAGACCCTCAAAAAAAATATTTAAAAAAATAAAAAATAAAATAAAAATAGAAAAGTATTAAAATAATCAGAATAGCTGCGTGTAGCTGCGCGGAGTCACATGACTGTGCGATAAATAAAAATAAATATGGACTTCAAAACGTGGACTGAAAAAACAACGTCGACTTTTTATATAAATGTACCACAGGAAGTTAAACAGGAAGTGTTCACGGGCGCGATTCAGGCTCCAGCCGCTCTGGCCCCGGTTCACGTTCTGTTGATAAACCGTGGGCGCTCTGTCGGCCCTGAGGTTCTCCGAGGTTCTGGGAGGCTCGGGGGGCTCGGGGGGTCTGGTGGGGCTCGGGGGGCTCGGGGGCGCTCTCTGGTGGGGGCTCGGGGGATCTCGGGGCGCTCTCTGGGGGCTCTCTGGGGGCTCTGGTGGGGGCTCGGGGTCTCTGGGGGCTCGGGGATCTCGGGGGCTCTCTGGTGGGGGCTCTCTGGTGGGCGCTCTCTGGTGGGGGCTCGGGGGCGCTCTCTGGTGGGGCTGGGATCTCGGGGCTCTCGGTGGGGCTCTGGTGGGGGCTCTCTGGTGGGGGCTCTCTGGTGGGGGCTCGGGGCTCGGGGGCGCTCTCTGGTGGGGGCTCGGGGGGGGGGCTCGGGGGTGCTCTCTGGTGGGGGCTCTCTGGTGGGGCTCGGGGCTCGGGGGCGCTCTCTGGTGGGGCTCTCTGGTGGGCTCTCTGGTGGGGGCTCGGGGGGCTCGGGGGCGCTCTCTGGTGGGGGCTCTCTGGTGGGGGCTCGGGGATCTCGGGGCGCTCTCTGGTGGGGGCTCTCTGGTGGGGGCTCGGGGATCTCGGGGGCGCTCTCTGGTGGGGGCTCGGGGATCTCTCGGGGGCGCTCTCTGGTGGGGGCTCGGGGGCGCTCTCTGGTGGCGGTTCAGTGCAGGTAGAGGTTTTTCCTCAGCGTGTGTCGCAGGTCCAGGTGGTACTGCTCAGACGGGTTCCTCTGGTTGTGGTCGCAGACGTCGGCGTTGACCCGCAGGTGCAGGTCGACCAGGTGGGATCTTCTGGACAAACACAAGAAAAATCCACTTTTATAAACGAAACAGTTTCCAAAGAGACGCACAAAACAAATAAAACATGTCCAGTAGAACGTAACTTCTCTAGTCCTGATCCTGGTCCTGGTCTCGTCCTGGTCTCGTCCTGGTCTGGTTACGGTGTCAGTCCCGGTCTGGTCCTGGTCCTGGTCTCAGTCCTGGTTCTGGTCTCAGTCCTAGTCTGGTCCCAGTCTCCGTCCTTGTCTCATCCTGGTCTCGTCCTGGTCGTGGTCCCAGTCTCAGTCCTGGTCTGAGTCCCAGTCTAGTCTTGGTCTCAGTCCTGGTCTCAGTCTTGGTCTCAGTCCTGGTCTTGTCCTGGTCTCACTCCCGGTCTTGTCCTGGTCTCAGTCCTGGTCCTGGTCCTGGTCTCAGTCCCGGTCTGGTCCCGGTCTCAGTCCTGGTCTCGTCCTGGTCCTGGTCCCTGTCACAGTCCCGGTCTCATTCCTGTCTGGTCACGGTCTCAGTCTTGGTCTCAGTCCTGGTCTCAGTCCTGGTCTCAGTCCCAGTCTAGTCCTGGTCTCAGTACTGGTCTCAGTCTTAGTCTTAGTCCTGGTCTTGTCCCGGTCTGGTCCTGGTCTTGTCCTGGTCTCAGTCCTGGTCTGGTACTGGTCTTGTCCTGGTCTCAGTCCTGGTCTGGTACTGGTTTCAGTCCCGGTCTTGTCACAGTCTCAGTTCTGGTCTCGTCCTGGTCCTGGTTCCTGTCACAGTCCCGGTCTCATTCCTGTCTGGTCCCGGTCTCAGTCCTGGTCTTGGTCTAGTCCCGGTCTCAGTCCAGGTTTAGTCCATTATCTGTTTTTTACATTTTGGTTTTGGAGACAAATAATGAAGAAAATCATTTTTTTGTTTCTTATTTTTTATTTTATTTTGAAAAACGAATGAACAAATGACACATTTAAGATTTAAGTGCTTTTATACTTGTTCCAGTTTGTTCTAAAAACATTCAGGAAAGGTTCATTTCTGTTTTGTCAATGTGACTTTTTTAATATCGATATCTGCGAAAAATGAGGATCTAGTTTCGATACTTGTTTTTGATTATTTCCTCTGTGTCTGAAAACTTCTCCAAGAAATACACCTAAAACCACACTGTACTTGAGTAAAAGTACTTGAGTAACTGTAAGAGTGGGGGTGTTGGTGTGTTTACCTGGCGCGTCCGGCCTGCAGCGCCCCCATCAGGGCTCTCAGGTACTGCGAGTGGTGTCCCGCGCTCTGCAGCTGAGTCTCCGACGTCCAGCAGTGACTCCAGAACACGTCTGCGTCTGTGGGGACCAGACTCTGCCCAGGGAACCCGTCTGTCTCCAGGTCCTCGCTGAAGACAGAGGACAAGGACGTGAGGACGAGGACGTGAGGACGAGGACGTGAAGACGAGGACATGAGGACGAGGACGTGAAGACGAGGACATGAAGACAAGGACATGAGGACAAGGACGTGAGGACGAGGACATGAAGACAAGGACATGAAGACAACGACGTGAGGACATGAGGACGAGGACATGAAGACAAGGACATGAGGACAAGGACATGAGGACAAGGACGTGAAGACGAGGACATGAAGACAACGACGTGAGGGTGAGGACATGAGGACGAGGACATGAAGACAAGACAGAGAAGACTGAGGACATGAAGACAAGGACGTGAGGACAACGACGTGAGGATGAGAACGTGGAGGACGAGGACGTGAAGACAAGGACATGAGGACAAGGACGTGAGGACGAGGACGTGAGGTCGAGGACATGAAGACAAGGACATGAGACAAGGACATGAGGACAAGGACGTGAGGACGAGGACGTGAGGACGAGGACATGAAGACAAGGACGTGAGGACGAGGACATGAGGACGAGGACATGAAGACAAGGACATGAGGACAAGGACGTGAGGACAAGGACGTGAAGACAAGGACATGAGGACGAGGATGTGAGGACAACAACGTGAGGATGAGGACGTGAGGACAACGACGTGAGGACGAGGACGTGAGGACTGTGATTGTGCAGAATTTTTACATTTAAATTTAACTAACGTAAGTCAGAGTCAGAGTCAGAGTCAGAAGGAGCTGAAGAGCCTCCTGGAGAACTTCCTGTTTGACACATGGCGGCTACAGGGTTAAACCTGCCCACTCATATACACAGTATCTGTACATATACACAATCTATATACATATACACAGTCTATATACATATACACAGTCTATATACATATACACAGTCTATATACATATACACAGTATCTATACATATACACAGTATCTATACATATACACAGTCTATATACATATACAAAACTACAACAACACAAAACTACAACAACACAAAACTACAAAAACTACTGGGGTGGGTGGGGGGGGGGGGCAGAGGCTGGGGGTCCGTCAAAGGACCGTGGTGGACCGGAGTCGGCCCGCGGGCCTTAGTTTGATGACCTCTGCTCTGGATGATAAAAACTGAAAATCACAAGTTTTCAGATCCAACCACAATAACTCCACCCACCTGTGACTCTAGCCCCACCCCCTCGTGTGTAGCCCCGCCCACCTGTATCCTGCGGCGGGCTCGTACGGGGACACGCTGTAGGTCTGGATGAAGAAGAGTTTGGGTTTTCCGGCGAGGCCGGGGCAGTTTTCCGGGGTGAACATGCGTCGGAGCGAGTCCAGGTGGAGGCCGGCGGAGCGGGCGTCGGTGGCGAGCAGGTGGAACTGCGTCCCTCTGCTGATGACGCAGCAGACGAAGGCGGAGGCGGACCTGAGGAGGGGGCTCTGCTGCAGGGACCTGAGAGTCGACTGACAGTCACCGACGCTGAGCCAACGGTGAAGAACCACGGAGAAGTGAAGGTTCTGGAACGTCTGCTCCAACAGCTCTGCACATTTAAACATCAAATATGACAAATATCAGAGTTATTTAACCTTTTGTCTTTACTACATAATTCCCTAAATCTTATCTTGCATCATATATTTAATGTCTCCTGTGTTTATCTAAAATGTAGAAAGTAGAAAACATATAAAACAGAAAAAAGACAAGACAAAAAAAACAAAAAAAACAATTTCACGAGATGGAACAAATACTCGAGGCTGGTGCAGGTTCAAGCACAGACGACCTCTGACCTTTTTAAATAATCCCAATAATGAAAAGTATTTTTATTTCTTAAATGTCCTGGTGTTAATTGTTCCAGCACAGTTTATTTATCATCAGATGTCTTGTTCATTTCTAGTGTCGTAGGACTCAAGACCGGTCTTGGTTTTGAGACTGGCCACGAGACGGCTTTGGTCTCATCTTGGACTCAAGCGCATTTGGACTCTGACTTGTCTTGGTCTTGAGACAAGACCGAGACCAAGTGCGAGACAAGACTGAAACAAAACTGAAACAAGACTGAAACAAGACCGAGACAAGACTGAAACAAAACTGAAACAAGACTGAAACAAGACCGAGACAAGACCGAGTCCAAGGGCCATCAAGACCAAGACAAGACCGAGACAAGACCGAGACCAAGTGCGAGACAAGACTGAAACAAGACCGAGACAAGACCAAGACAAGACCGAGAAAAGACCGAGACCAAGCGCCATCAAGACCGAGACAAGACCAGGACAAGACCAGGACAAGACCGAGTCCACGCACCACCAAGACCAAGACAAGACCAGGACAAGACCAAGACAAGACCGAGATCAAGTGCCATCAAGGCCGAGACAAGACCAGGACAAGACTGAGACCAAGCCCCATCAAGACCGAGACAAGACCAAGACCAAGTCCGAAAAAGCAGATGACAAGGACTAAACCAGGTCTAAACCAGGTCTAAACCAGGTCTAAACCAGGACTAAACCAGGTCTAAACCAGGTCTAAACCAGGACTAAACCAGGTCTAAGCCAGGACTAAACCAGGTCTAAACCAGGTCTAAACCAGGTCTAAACCAGGACTAAACCAGGACTAAACCAGGTCTAAACCAGGACTAAACCAGGTCTAAGCCAGGACTAAACCAGGTCTAAACCAGGTCTAAACCAGGACTAAACCAGGACTAAACCAGGTCTAAACCAGGACTAAACCAGGTCTAAGCCAGGACTAAACCAGGTCTAAACCAGGTCTAAACCAGGTCTAAACCAGGACTAAACCAGGACTAAACCAGGACTAAACCAGGACTAAACCAAAACTAAACCAGGTCTAAACCAGGACTAAACCAGGTCTAAACCAGGACTAAACCAGGACTAAACCAGGTCTAAACCAGGTCTAAACCAGGACTAAACCAGGACTAAACCAGGACTAAACCAGGTCTAAACCAGGACTAAACTAGGTCTAAACCAGGACTAAACCTAAACCAGGTCTAAACCAGGTCTAAACCAGGATTAAACCAGGACCTTATCACATGTTCATGCTTTTTTTTTTTGTCCAATTATTTCCATTTCAACTATTTTTTTGATTAAAGTTTTTTCTTTTTCTGTCTTTTTCTCCAGTTGATGTGGAAACAGAGGTCCAGGCCTGAGCTCTTTCTTTCTCATCAGGACGGAGCGTTTGCGGCGGCGGCGGCGGTGACGTCGGCGCTCAGATCTCGGGGTCGTGTGGGCGGTGACGACGAGGTGAAGACGACCCTCTTCAACCCCGAAAGGAAACCTCCAGCGCGAGACGTTTAACAGAACAAACCCCGTCTGAGTCACGCGGCGCTCGGAGCAGCTGTGGTCCGGACGTCGGCCTCAAGTTTCCCTTCTGTGATTCATGACGGTTTGGTTAAAGGTGCATTGTGTAACCTTTCCTAGTGGAGCCTAGTGGTTTTTTGTTTCATTTTTCCGTTTTAATGTCAAACAAAAAAAAAAATCAACCAATCACAAAACAGTCTCGGTGCCTATTTTTGAATTTTGATATTTTATTCTCTGGTTTATTTGAAGTTCCCGTGTGATTCACCTGAAAAATCGTTGCAGTTTCACGGACAAACATGTCGTCTTCATTTACATTCGCGTCTTAGAAAATCATTGTTAAACTCCACGACGAGAAACAGGAAACAGTGATAAATTCTCCTTTGTTTAATTGACTCCACAGAACTACAATAAAACTTGTTTTTATTAGGGCTGGGCCAAAATTTAAAATATTAATCACATGAGTTTGAATTATGTTATACGCAAAACCAGTTAATGAATTAAAAAGTATAGAGTATAGCTGCACTTTTATTGGAAATGTAAATGAAAGAGCCAAACATTTGTTGTACAAACAGCATTTCTGTCAGAGTTGGACACTCAGAGTCTTCAAGGTTTTCAGTGAAGCTCAAGAAAAAATACTGAATGAACTTTTGTACTATTAATATATATTTTCACAGTTTTTTATTCAGTGAGTAATAAACACGACACTAGTAATCATTTCTAGATCTTTGTTATAAACTTGGACTGGGGTTAATATAATGGAACGGAAATGGACCAATCACAGTTTTTCTTCCAGTTGTATCCGGGTAAATTAGTGACTCCCCCTGAAGTACTGAACTAAACAAACACCTGCAGCACTGAACTAAACAAAACACCTGCACCTGCACTGAACTAAACAAAACCTGCAACACTGAAAACACCTGCACCTGCAACACTGAACTAAACAAACACCTGCAACACTGAACTAAACAAACAACACTGAACTAAACAAACACCTGCACTGAACTAAACAAAACAGCACTGAACTAAACAAACACCTGCACTGAACTAAACAAAACACCTGCAAACACCTGCACTGAACTAAACTAAACAAACACCTGCCTGCACTGCACTGAACTAAACAACACTGAACTAAACAAACACCTGCAACACTGAACTAAACAAACACCTGCACTGAACTAAACAAACACTGAACTAAACAAACACTGCAACACTGAACTAAACAAACACACTGAACTAAACAAACACCTGCACTGAACTAAACAACACCTGCACACTGAACAAACAACACTGAACTAAACAAACACCTGCACTGCAACACTGCAACACTGAACTAAACAACACAGCACTGAACTAAACAAACACCTGCACTGCACCTGCAACACTGAACTAAACAAACACACTGCAACACCTGCACTGAACTAAACAAACACCTGCACTGAACTAAACAAACACTGACTGAACTAAACAAACACCTGCACTGAACTAAACAAACACCTGCAACACTGAACTAAACAAACACAACTGTAAACAAACACTGAACTAAACAAACACCTGCAACACTGAACTAAACTAAAAAAACACCTGAACTAAACAAACACCTGCACTGAACTAAACAAACACCTGCACTGAACACTGCACACACTGAACTAAACAAACACACTGAACTAAACAACACACTGAACTAAACAAACACCTGCACTGAACTAAACAAACACTGAACTGAACTAAACAAACACCTGCAGCACTGAACTAAACAAACACCTGCACTGGAACTGAAACTACTGAACTAAAAAACACCTGAACTAAACACACACTGAACTAAACAAAACTAAACAAACACCTGCACTGAACTAAACAAACACCTGCAGCACTGAAACACTGAACTGAACTAAACAAACACCTGCAGCACTGCACTGCAAAACACTAAACAAACACACTGAACAAACAACACTGACACTGCAAACTAAACAAACACCTGCACTGAACTAAACAAAACACCTGCAGCACTGAACTAAACAAAACACTGAACTACTGAACTAAACAAACACCTGCAGCACTGAACTAAACAAACACCTGCAACACTGAACTAAACAAACACCTGCAGGACTTTCAGCGGCTGGAACGAACTTTGAGATTGACAGTTGTCTGAACCAATCACATTTCACTGAGTTATGGGCGGGATCATATCACGAAATCTTCCTGACCTTTGCGAATACCGTGTGATACCATTATGTAAGCGAGACCGCAGCGACGAAAACCGGACTGGACACCTCCGTTTGGACGCCTCAGGAGCGTCTGAAGGAAGGAGAAGAAAGAGAAAGACCCGTGAACCGGAGCCCGCGGCCCGGTTGGAGCTAGGAGCCCGCGGAAGCTCAGAGCCCACAGCTGCTCCGGCCCCGTGGGAGCCAGAAAAAAAGTGAAAAGAGTGTAAAGAAAAGACGTCAAAACGCTCACAGTGGAGTTTTCATAATAAAAACCAATTGTTTTAACAACGGTAAAATTATTGTTGGCGATAATGAATTAATTAGTCAACACAAAATTAACGCGTTAACGTGCCCGGCCCTGGTTTTATATATTCAGAGTAGTTTCAGTGTAGTTAGCTCGAGGGCTGAGTATCATTCAGAAGTTGCAATACCTCGATACAGTGAACTTTGGATTCGATACGATATATTTCAAATCGATTCAATACAGTTTAATAAAAACAAATTCTAAATCATGTCTGTGATACTGAAAGTCTTTGTTAAACTTCTTCTTGTGCAAAGTTCATATGAAACAAACATTTTAATCGTCAAAACAGTGAAAATGTCAAATGTGTCACATAAACGAGTTTCCTTCCTCTGAACAAACAACAAAACTGTAACTGTAACTAAATAATTTAGTAAAATAAACCAAAAAAATACTCTTGGTGATATAGCGATACTGTATCATCACATTAAACGATACGATATATCGATATTTCAATATTTTTGCACATGCCTAGTCAGCTCCTCCTGCAGACAGACATAAGGAAGTGTCCAGCAGCGTCTGACAGAACTGAAGAAGCAGCTTGGACGAACTGAGAAACGTCTTCAACCAAATAAACTTTTGCCCAGTCGACAAACTGAATTTCTCTTTTTTCCGTGGATTCTACCTGGACGACTGAGGGATTTTACACACCATCCATTTTCTTCCGCTTATCCGGGGCCGGGTCGCGGAGGCAGCAGCCTAAGCAGGGACTCCCAGACTTCCCTTTCCACGCACACGTCCTCCAGCTCCTCTGGGGGACCCCGAGGTGTTCCCAGGCCAGTCCAGAGACATAGTCCCTCCAGTGTGTCCTGGGTCTTCCCCGGGGTCTCCTCCCAGTGGGACATGAACACCTCCCGAGGGAGACGTCCAGGAGGCATCCGGAACAGATTCCCGAGCCTCAACTGCTCCTCTCAACGTGGAGGAGCAGCGGCTCTACTCCGAGCTCCTCCCGTGTGACTGAGCTCCTCACTCTGTCTCTAAGGGAGACGCCCAGACGCCCTGCGGAGGAAACTCATTTCTGTCGCTTGTATCCGTGATCTCGTCCTTTCGGTCACTACCCAGAGTCATGACCAGAGGTGAGAGGAGGAACGAAGACTGACGGTAAATCACCACAACGACCGATACAGCGACCGCATCACTGCCGACGCTGCACCTGTCCACCTGTCAATCTCACGCTCCATCCTCCCCTCACTCGTGAACAAGACCCCGACAGACTTGAACTCCTCCACTTGAGGCACATTCCAGACAAAACTATGACATCACCATATAAACAAGCACCAACGGAGCAAAAACCAAAGAGTTACATACTGCACCTTTAACCCTCTGTAAAAAGCTTTTTGTCTCTGTCTCACCAGAAACTACTTCCCAGGACTGTGACGCATCGACTCATTTTAAACATAGTTGATCGTTTTCACTGTGGTAATTCCCTCCGCCGCCTGTAGGTGTCACTGTGAACGTCACTTTAAAATCATCAAATTCTAAAGCAAAAGGTTTTGAAGAGAAACGCGGTCCACTCCGGGTTTAACAGACATGATTTCTCTTCCTGAGTGTTTCCCGTCTTACCTCCGTCCTGACCCACGCAGTCGATGATGACGCACACTCCTCGGTTGTTAGTGTCCAGTCTGTAGTGTTCTAGATGATTCTGTGAAACGCAAACACCAGAGTCACTCAAGAGGAACCGAAAGCCACTCACAGAACTTGAGTCCGAGTCACTCACGGAGCAGCTCGTCTCCCTCTGCGTCGGCTGTCGTGATCTGCCCGGACCTGAGCACAAACATCACACACAAAACTGACTCCTGGGACATTTAAGTTACTAAAGTTCTAATGTTGTTAACGTAGAAAAACAAGAGCAGAGTTGGGTTTTGTTTCATTTTCACATGTTGAGAAATTCTTTATTATTAGTCTGTGTCCTAGAGTCCTGCACCTCCCACAGGACCCACGCAAAACAGGTCTAAAAGACGGGACTAAAACAGGACTTAAAATAGAACTAAACCAGGACTAAAACTGGTCTAAAAACAGGTCTAAAACCAGGACTAAAACACTGTCTAAAACCAGGACTAAAACTGGTCTAAAACCAGGACTAAAACCAGGACTAAAACCTAGGTCTAAAACCAGGACTAAAACAGGACTAAAAACAGGACTAAAACTGATCTAAAACCAGGACTAAAACTGGTTTAAAAACAGGACTAAAACAGGTCTAAAACCAGGACTAAAACAGGACTAAAAACAGGACTAAAACAGGTCTAAAACCAGGACTAAAACTGGTCTAAAAACAGGACTAAAACAGGTCTAAAACCAGGACTAAAACTGGTCTAAAAACAGGACTAAAACTGGTCTAAAACCAGGACTAAAACAGGACTTAAAATAGGACTAAACCAGGACTAAAACTGGTTTAAAAACAGGTCTAAAACCAGGACTAAAACCAGGACTAAAACAGGTCTAAAACCAGGACTAAAACAGGACTAAAAACAGGACTAAAACAGGTCTAAAACCAGGACTAAAACTGGTCTAAAAACAGGACTAAAACTGGTCTAAAAACAGGACTAAAACTGATCTAAAACCAGGACTAAAACTGGTCTAAAAACAGGACTAAAACAGGTCTAAAACCAGGACTAAAACAGGACTAAAAAAACAGGACTAAAACAGGTCTAAAACCAGGACTAAAACTGGTCTAAAAACAGGACTAAAACTGGTCTAAAAACAGGACTAAAACTGATCTAAAACCAGGACTAAAACCAGGACTAACACAGGTCAAAACCAGGACTAAACCAGGACTAAAACTGGTCTAAAAACAGGTCTAAAACCAGGACTAAAACCAGGACTAAAACCAGGACTAAACCAGGACTAAACCAGGACTAAACTAGGACTAAAACAGGACTAAAACTGGTCTAAAACAGGACTAAAACAGGTTTAAAAAGGACTTCACCAGGCCGTCGGACCTTTCATCGAGCCTCCTCCCAAACGCAGCCCAGTTCTTTTCCGCTTCTCAGTGTTTGACAGAGATTAAGAAAGAAAACGTTCCCGTCTTGTGGGACTTGTGGGCGGGAGCGCAGATCTCTACTGTGTACATCTGCAAAACTGTAAATGCTCCGTTCCACCTTGTGATGTCACCCACCTCTAACTTTTAGTTCAGCAGAGATCGACAATTCCAGGACTAAAATGATCCGAACGATTCTAGTGAAGGTGTGTGGAGTTTAAAAACACAATGGAGCACTTCCTGTATCACCACATGACATCACAAGGTGGAAGACCTAAAGAACTAAATCTGCAGGGTTTTTGTGTTTAAACATGTAAATGAAACAAAACACAACTCCAGAAAAAGAAAGAAAGAAAAAGAAAGAGAAAGTGTGAGTCTTACTGTTGTGGAGAAACAGAGCAGGTCTGGTGTTTTGTTGGTGACAGTTTAAGGCCTGGACGGGTCTGGGACTCTGCAGAACCACAGATGAAAGTGTTAGATTTCAGATTAGAGAAGAACTGTCAGTGTTGATCTCTGCATCGATATCAGGACTAAACTTCCCCTTGAAAACCAGGTCACTCACCTCAAGGGACTTTTCCTTGATAATAAACATTTATATAAACATATAACTCTATAGACGATGTCATGGTGACACAATGTACATATTAGGAAACACTGACAGAAAAAATTAAAGTTTTATGTCTGAAAACTCAAGGAAAAATACAAAATGGATTTAAACAGCAGGTTTTCAGGAGCCTGTGATGAGTTCATGGTTCTGTTTAAGAGCTTCAACAATAACGACCAATCAGATCACCTGTTGTAGTTACAGTTGAAGCTACGTTTAGTCTGCAGCCTGAACCAGACTCGGGTCATGTGTACGACCGGGGGTGCAGGGTGGGCTGGTTCACATCTGGGTCGGTGTGGGTTAGGGTGAGCACGTCCCCCTCCCCCGACAGGCCTTGGCCCACCCAAACCTCCACAGGCCCACGATGACCCCACCAAAAAAAGTTTTGTAATATATTGTGTCGCTCAATGTGTGAAAACATTTGTGGAAACAGGTTCACTTGTATTTTGGCTTTAACTAAGCACCATTCAAAAATAGAAACACTGCAGAACACGTCTGTGTCACTCACACCGAACAACAATGACTCCTGTCACTAACTCCAAAGAAAACCTTCCCCTAAACCACAGGTGTCAAACATACGGCCCGGGGGCCAGATCCGGCCCTCCAAGTCCTTTAATCTGGCCCTCGGCTGATTTTCTACTAAAATATTTTAATGATATTTTCTTTTAAAATGGTGTTAATTTTCTGTGGTGTTTATCACAGCAGCGTCTCCAGCGTCTCTGTACGTGGCCCCTCCCACCAGAGCAGCACAAATGAAGACTTGTCTCTTTCCAAACGCTCTTAAAGGACGATCGTTTTGACTGTTGACCGTGACACCCTCATCAGAAAAATGTCCAACATGAGAAAAGTGGAGCCGAGTGCAGGATTTTACAACAAAAATGGACTTATTCCTGTTTACAGACAAGTTCATGTTCAAACTTTGTGTTGAAATTGTATTTTTCTTAAAGTTTCAGGTTGTTCATAATATTATAATATTTTGTAAAAGAAAGAGTTCATCAATTAAAAAAGATTTCTGTAATAGATTTGTGTTTCTCTGCACAAATATTTGAACTTATTGTTATTTTTGGGGTTTATATGACATGAGTTTTCTGATCCGGACACTTTGGATCAAAGTCGGTTGGACACGACCCCCGGAACAAAATGAGTTTGACACCTCTGCCCTAAAACATTGTGGCCAAGTTTAAAGGTCAATACAGTATTTTAATTTTGTCAAATATTATTAAAAATAACCCGATAATTTGTGGTAAAATAGTCGAAATAGGTTTTCTTTTTTCTTTAATAAAAAAGTTGTTTATGTGGAGGTTTGTGATGTTCAGCAGACGGAGGCAGACGGATGAAGCTGTGGATCTTTCTGTGTTACAGACAAATAATCCGTCTGTTTTATACAGTGGTGTCCCAGTGGAACTCGATGGGAAAACCGGAGAGGGAATTCCAGGCCCCCAGTGTCCCGAATATTCCACTCAAACAGAACACTGAGTCGATATTTTCTGATAAACAAAACTGTTTGTAGAGAGGTTCAAGACCCCGGCGTGTCATTTACATTTTTAGTTTGTTCTTTTTTCCGTTTTGTGTGTGAACAACATCATTTATTAAAACTCGGTGTTTTTATTAGTTAATGTGATTTTTGTTTGTAAAGAAAAGCAACTTCCAACGCACATTTCTGAACCTTTCCTCAGAAATGCTCAAAGTTCACACTGGAGATCACAGACAAGTAACACTGAATAAAAAATGTGAACGACCTCGCAAAAAAGATCAGATTTGAGCATCAAGGCCTGATCGGATAAAAGTCTAATAGAGTTTTAGACAGAGCAGTGCCTCCAGTTAGCGTCACACCCCCAGAGAATGTTGAGCTGCAAAGTGTGAGCTGTAGACGTACTCACCGAAAAAGGGCGACACGACCTCTGGACCTGGGTTTGTTCGGGGACTGCGGGTCATGAAAAAGACAAGAACATCAGTATCTGCAGCTCGCGGTCAGGACAGTGCAAGTTACTGAAGTGTCTTGCTCGAGTGCACAGCGGCAGAACACACCAGCACCGAGCATTTCCACAGTAACCAGATCAGGGTTTAGGCGTCACCTCTGTTGGTGAGACAGCGCACCCTTTTGGCCAGGTCCTGTCGGTTGACGTCCCTCAGGCAGCGCTCGATCAGGTCCAGTCTGTCGCTCGACACTTCGTCTTGTTTTTCTAGTTCGGTGATGACGTCCAGGAAGCACTGACGCACAAAACACACGTGAGTAAAACAAAAACTGCATTAAAGCTACAAAAAACAGACTAAATGAAAAAAAAAAGTTTAATAATGCAGATGTTGCTGTGTTTCAGATGGGGTCAGGAAGTAAAGAAGAACAGACGCTAAAACAGGAACAGGTCTAAAACAGGACTTCTAAAACAGGTCTAAAAACAGGTCTAAAACAGGACTAAAACAGGTCTAAAACCAGGTCTAAAACAGGTCTAAAACAGGTCTAAAACCAGGACTAAAACAGGTCTAAAACAGGTCTAAAAAACTAAAACAGGACTAAAAAACTAAAACAGGACTAAAAACCAGGACTAAAAACACTAAAACAGGTCTAAAACCAGGTCTAAAACAGGTCTAAAACAGGTCTAAAACAGGTCTAAAACAGGTCTAAAACCAGGACTAAAACCAGGACTAAAACCAGGACTAAAACTAAAACAGGACTAAAACAGGTCTAAAACAGGTCTAAAAACCAGGTCTAAAAAACCAGGTCTAAAACCAGGACTACTAAAACAGGTCTAAAACAGGTCTAAAACCAGGACTAAAACAGGACTAAAACAGGTCTAAAACAGGTCTCACACTCATCACTCTCAAGACCCGAGATACTTGAACTCCTCCACTTGAGGCAGGGAACATTACTACATTATAACTATTCATTATTTGTTTGTTATAATTACAGTAATATTTCATTCATATTTTCTGCAGACTGTGATGAATCTCTGGTACCTTGGCTCTGTCCAGTCTGTCTCGGGGCAGAACTCCTCCCAGCAGAAACTTGAGCTGGTTCAGATCTTCAGTGGTCAGATCTTGACTCAGGTCGACCATGAGGACTCTGCAGAGGAAACACACGGCACAGAGTGAGAAACGCCACAGATTCAACAGATTCTACAGATTCCACAGATTCCACAGATTCCACAGACAGAGGAGCAGAGGAGCGGGACGTTGTCTGTGTGTCTCTTCCTCATATCTGACAGCTGAATGTGTGAAACTCAACAGCTCGTAACGTTGTGTATCTCTGTTTTCCATCTGTGTTTGTGTGTCAGATTGGCCACGCCCCCTTCAGGACGCCGCTCTCTGGGTCTCTGGACGTGACCGGGGTCGGGTCTGATTGGTACTGAGGTAAAACACCGGTATTTAAAGATCTGTAAAGACACTCCAGGTCAGTCGGTCCAGTCCAGTCGTCTGCTCGTCTCTCGTCTCTGAGGTTAAATATAAGAACAAATAAAACTCTGTGATCTTAATCTGGGGAACATCTGTAAACTAAAGTATCTTCCTCTTACAAGACTTCCAAGGAACTGTGTGAACTATTTTAAATGGAGTGTAAATAAATAAATACATGTCACATTAAAAACACATCACAATAAAAATAAAAAAAACACATAAAAAAAAATCACGTTTAAAAGTCACATTTTTAAAAAAAGGTAAATTTTTCTATAGCGCTTTTCCACGTTTAAGGCCCAACAGCACTTTTTTTTTTTTTTTTTTTTTAAATAAAAGACAGCAGAACATAAAGCAACAACCACAACACCACAACAAATACAGAAAAGCCCCCCCCATTTCCCCCCAACCGCCCACACGACACAAAGTCAAAACAATATAAATGTGATAGTGCAACATAAATACACCGCTAGGCTCCCGAACATTGATACACTGCGGCCAATTTATAATTGAAGTTCCTTTTGTTTTTTTTTTATTATAATTTTTTAAATGTATTAGTCCCTATACTCAAACTAATATTTATTTTCACCATCATCAGTTCCCCTCATCATCTGTCACAATCTTGAAAAACATAACCCTAAAGGCTTTTCTTTGTATTAATTATTATTACTGTTATTATTATCACTATTATTCCTACTATTATTTCCACTACCTTTCATCACTATTACTATTTTTATTATTATTAATTATTATTACATCCATAATACCTATTATTATCTCTACTATTAATTACAATAATTACAACAATAATATTTCATTATTATTATTATCATTATCATGTAGTAGTAGTAGTAGTAGTAGCAGTAGTAGTAGTAGTTGTAGTAGTAGTCAGTAGTAGTGTAGTAGTAGTGTCAGTAGTAGTCAGTAGTAGTAGTAGTAGTAGTGTCAGTAGTAGTGTCAGTAGTGTAGTAGTAGTAGTAGTAGTCAGTAGTAGTGTCAGTAGTAGTCAGTAGTAGTAGTAGTGTCAGTAGTAGTGTCAGTAGTAGTGTCAGTAGTAGTGTCAGTAGTAGTGTCAGTAGTAGTGTCAGTAGTAGTGACAGTAGTAGTGTCAGTAGTAGTGTCAGTAGTAGTGTCAGTAGTAGTGTCAGTAGTAGTAGTAGTAGTGTAGTAGTGTGTCAGTAGTAGTGTCAGTAGTAGTGTCAGTATAGTAGTAGTATGTCAGTAGTAGTAGTAGTAGTAGTGACAGTAGTAGTCAGTAGTACAGTAGTAGACAGTAGTAGTAGTCAGTAGTAGTGAGTGTCAGTAGTAGTGTCAGTAGTAGTGTCAGTAGTAGTGTCAGTAGTAGTGTAGTAGTCAGTCAGTAGTAGTGACAGTAGTAGTGTAGTAGTCAGTGTCAGTAGTAGTCAGTAGTAGTAGTCAGTATAGTAGTAGTGTCAGTAGTGACAGTAGTAGTCAGTAGTAGTGACAGTAGTAGTAGTAGTAGACAGTAGTAGTAGTCAGTAGTAGTGTAGTAGTAGTGTCAGTAGTAGTGTCAGTAGTAGTAGTGTCAGTAGTAGTGTAGTAGTGTCAGTAGTAGTAGTAGTAGTAGTAGTGTCAGTAGTAGTAGTAGTGTCAGTAGTAGTGTCAGTAGTAGTAGTAGTAGTGTCAGTAGTAGTGACAGTAGTAGTGTCAGTAGTAGTAGTGACAGTAGTAGTGACAGTAGTAGTGTCAGTAGTAGTGACAGTAGTAGTGTCAGTAGTAGTGACAGTAGTAGTGTCAGTAGTAGTCAGTAGTAGTCAGTAGTAGTCAGTAGTAGTGTCAGTAGTGTCAGTAGTATGTTAGTAGTAGTAGTAGTGTCAGTAGTAGTGTCAGTAGTAGTAGTAGTGTCAGTAGTAGTGTCAGTAGTAGTAGTAGTAGTAGTGTCAGTAGTGTAGTAGTAGTAGTAGTAGTGTCAGTAGTAGTAGTAGTAGTAGTAGTGTCAGTAGTAGTGTCAGTAGTAGTGTAGTAGTAGTGTCAGTAGTAGTAGTAGTAGTAGTAGTGTCAGTAGTAGTAGTAGTAGTAGTAGTAGTGTCAGTAGTAGTGACAGTAGTAGTGTCAGTAGTGTAGTAGTAGTGTCAGTAGTAGTAGTAGTAGTAGTAGTGACAGTAGTAGTAGTCAGTAGTAGTGTCAGTAGTAGTGACAGTAGTAGTGTCAGTAGTAGTGTCAGTAGTAGTGTCAGTAGTAGTGTCAGTAGTAGTAGTAGTAGTAGTAGTAGTAGTAGTGACAGTAGTAGTGTCAGTAGTAGTCAGTAGTAGTCAGTAGTAGTAGACAGTAGTAGTGTCAGTAGTAGTGTCAGTAGTAGTGTCAGTAGTAGTGTCAGTAGTGTCAGTAGTAGTGTAGTGTCAGTAGTAGTGTCAGTAGTAGTGTCAGTAGTAGTGACAGTAGTAGTAGTGACAGTGACAGTAGTAGTGTCAGTAGTGTCAGTAGTAGTGTCAGTAGTAGTAGTGTCAGTAGTAGTGACAGTAGTAGTGTCAGTAGTAGTGTCAGTAGTAGTGACAGTAGTAGTGTCAGTAGTAGTGTCAGTAGTAGTGTCAGTAGTAGTGACAGTAGTAGTGTCAGTAGTAGTGACAGTAGTAGTGTCAGTAGTAGTGACAGTAGTAGTACAGTAGTGTCAGTAGTAGTGTCAGTAGTCCCCAATAGTAGATATATGAATATTATATAGATCCCTACTTTAAATCTTTATGACCGACATCAGTTTTATAAGATATATTAGCAAATATATCACATTCTAATTTTCTCCCAGGTATTTAAGAACTTCCCAACAGCTCTTTACAACAAGGAACCACTCACATTCACACACCAGTGCACACAGACACTGTGGGCAGGGTGGGTTAAGTGTCTTGCCCAAGGACACAACGACAGCATTCATCTGTGGGAGCTGGAATCACACCAGCAACCTTCAGATTAGTGGGCGATTGCTCCACCAACTGAGCTACTGTCGCCCGTCACACTTAAAAATCACACTTAAAAATCCCATAAAAGCCAATAAACTCTGGTGACACGTCTGGGCTGATGTGTGGAGCCAATTTAGATTTTCTCCAAATGATCTAAAGTGAAATGATTGTAAACTCATTCATGTCCAGTGTCGTCACTTACTCTACCTGCTCTCTTTGACTCTTTGACTCTTTGGACTAAAATGTTCAGGTAAATCTTTATGTGTGTTTTTCTGCCTCTGCTGGAGACTTAAGACCGATAACTGGTCTACTCAAAAGGGCAAATATCGGTCCAATATATCGAGATCTCTTTACTACACTGGAAAAAACAGTTTCTAGATAAGTTAAAATGACTTAAATGAAGAACATTTATTTGAGTCGATTTGAGTTTGTTTTTCTTAATTCAAGCAACATTCGATTTTGTTTCTTATTTTAAGAGCAGAAAGATGGATTTTCATCTGAGCCGATCCTTTCACCTGCAGTCACCCGACGGTCTACAGGGACGCACCTCCGGGTTCTGGTTTAGACCTGGTTTAGTCCTGGTTTAGTCCTGGTTTAGTCCTGGTTTAGTCCTGGTTTATCCTGGTTTCTGGTTTAGTCCTGGTTTCCTGGTTAGTCCTGGTTTAGTCCTGGTTTAGTCCTGGTTTAGTCCTGGTTTAGTCCTGGTTAGTCCTGGTTTAGTCCTGGTTTAGTCCTGGTTTAGTCCTGGTTTAGTCCTGGTTTAGTCCTGGGTCCTGGTTTAGTTCCCTGGTTTAGTCCTGGTTTAGTCCTGGTTTAGTCCTGGTTCAGTTTGGTTTAGTCCTGGTTTAGTCCTGTTTAGTCCTGGTTTTAGTCCTGGTTTAGTCCTTTTAGTCCTGTTTTCCTGGTTCAGTCCTGGTTCAGTCCTGGTTTAGTCCTGGTTCAGTCCTTTTAGTCCGTTTAGACCTGGTTTAGTCCTGGTTCAGTCCTGGTTTAGTCCTGGGTCCTTTAGTCCTGTTTAGTCCGGTTTAGTCCCGGTTTAGTCCTGGTTTAGTCCTGGTTCAGTCCTGTCCTGTTAGTCCTGGTTTAGTCCTGGTTTAGTTTAGTCCTGGTTTAGTCCTGGTTTAGTTCTGGTTTAGTCCTGGTTTAGTCCTGGTTTAGTCTGGTTTTGGTTAGTCTGGTTTAGTTCCTGGTTTAGTCCTGGTTTAGTCGTTTAGTCCTGGTTTAGTCCTGGTTTAGTCCTGGTTTAATCTGGTGTTATCCTGGTTCAGTCCTGTTCAGTTTAGTCCTGGTTAGGTTTAGTCCGTTTAGACCTGGTTTAGACCTGGTTTAGTCCCGGTTTAGTCCTGGTTTACTCCTGGTTTAGTCCTGGTTTCCTGGTTTAGTCCTGGTTCAGTTCTGGTTCAGTCCTGGATTTAGTCCTGGTTTAGTCCTGGTTTAGTCCTGGTTTACTGTGTTAAATCCTGGTTCAGTCCTGGTTTCAGTCCTGGTTTAGTCCTGGTTCAGTCCTTGGTTTAGTCCCGTTTAGTCCTGGTTTAGTTCTGGTTTAGTCCTGGTTTAGTCCTGGTTCAGTCCTGGTTCAGTCCTGGTTTTCCTGGTTTAGTCCCGGTTTAGTCCTGGTTAGTACCGGTTTAGTCCTGGTTGTTACCGTTCAGTCCTGGTTTCAGTCCTGCAGATTTCATGAGTCTATGCAGTTTGCTCCAGTTTGACATTTAAGTTGCAGTTATTTTATATATATTTTTTATTTCTCACGTTTGGAGTAGCTCCTGTCACTGACCTGTACTGACCTGACTAACTCCTGTCACTGACCTGTACTGACCTGACTAACTCCAGTCACTGACCTGTATGCAGACAGCAGGTGCGCCCCCCTCTGTCTCTCCACCTCGTCTCTCCCGCAGTGGCACAGTTTCCGGAGCAGGTCGAGCCTCCGGAGCTGCACCAGGAGCTCCTTGACCACCTGCCCCGGGCGCTCGCTGCTCCTGACCGCCCCCTCCAGGACGCCGCGGGCATGTGCGGGACTGTGCTCCGACTCCCGGCTCCCGCACAGAAACACCAGAGTCCTCCTCTCCGACTCACTCAGGTCCTCCACCAGCTGACAGAGCAGGACGAGGGACGGGCCGGGGCTGGACATCAGATCGGGCACGACTGGGGTCTGCGGGGTCAAACGGCAAAAAATTAGAACATTATATGATTCTCTAAAAGCACAGTTTACATTATTTCCTGAAGTACGGTGTGTTTTACATTCGTCCCTCTCTATGTTGCAGTTCACGTTTCGCGGTCTCGTTGTTTCGCAGATTTTTTGGTGCAATTTTGCTTTTTTTTTTTACAGTGTATGAACATGCACTGTAAAACATCCCATAGTCCTCCTCCATGGCCCCGAACTCCTCCCAGCTCAGAGTTTTTGCCTCCGCGACCACATGAGCTGCAGCACGCTTGGCCCGTCAGTACCCGTCAGCTGCTTCAGGCGTCCTACAAGCCAGCAAGACCCGACAGGACTCCTCCTTCAGCCTGACACATCCCTTACTTCCGGTGTCCACCACCAGGTTCTGGGGTTGCTGCCGCGACAGGCACCACAGACCTTACGCCCACAGCTCCGAGCAGCCGCATCGACAATAGAGGCCGAGAACAGAGCCCACCCAGACTCCATGTCCCCAGCCTCCCCCGGAATCTGGGAGAAGTCCTCCCGGAGGTGCGGGTTGAAGGTCCCTCTGACAGAGGCTCTGCCAGACGTTCCCAACAGACCCTCACTACACGCTTGGGCCTGCCAGGTCTTTCCGGCTTCCTCCTCCACCAGCGAACCCAACTCACAACCAGGTGGTGATCAGTTGACAGCTCAGCCCCTCTCTTCACCCGAGTGTCCAAGACACGCGGCCGGAGATCAGATGACACGACTACAAAGTCGATCATCGACCTCCGGCCTAGGGTGTCCTGGTGCCACGTGCACTTATGGACACCCTTGTGCTCGAACATGGTGTTTGTTATGGACAAACTGTGACTAGCACAGAAGTCCAATAACAAAACACCACTCGGGTTCAGATCGGGGAGGCCGTTCCTCCCAATCACCCCTCTCCAAGTGTCACTGTCGTTGCCCACGTGGGCGTTGAAGTCCCCCAGGAGAACAACGGAGTCCCCGGTCGGTGCACTGTCTAGTACCCCTCCCAAGGACTCCAAGAAGGCCGGGTACTCGAGTACTCTGCACTGCTGTTCGGCCCGTAGGCCGACACCACAGTGAGAGACCTGTCCCCGACCCGAAGGCGCAGGGACGCGACCCTCTCGTTCACCGGGGTGAACTCCAACACACAGCGACTGAGCTGTGGGGCAATGAGCCACACCAGCCCCCCCCACACCACACCACACTGCCCCCCCCACACCAGCTCGCCGCCGCTCCCCCCCACACCAGCCCCCCCCACACCAGCCCCGCCGCTCCCCCCCCACACCACCGCTCCCCCCCACCACCCCCCCCCACCAGCGCCGCCGCTCCCCCCCACACCAGCCCGCCGCCGCTCCCGCGGCCAACGCCAGAGAAATGGAGAGTCCAGCCCCTCTCAAGGAGTTGGGTTCCAGAGCCCAAACTGTGCTGGAGGTGAGGCCGACTATATCTAGTCGGTAACGCTCAACCTCCCGCACAAGCTCAGGCTCCTTCCCCCCAGCGAAGGTGACATTCCATGTCCCCAGAGCCACAGTCTCCATGTCCGGGGGCCCCCACCTTTGACTGCCGCCCAGATCTCTCTGCACTGGCCCCATATGGCTCCTCCCACAGGTGGTGGGTCCACAGAAGGGCGCCCCCCACATCGCTCGTTCGGGCTGTGCCACCAGACGCTCGCCTTCGACCACCCACACCAAGCCTGGCTCCAGGGTGGGGCCCCGGTAACACTTTCCAGGTGACATAACTGGCCTCCGTATGTTGCTCATCATGTGGGGTTTCTGAACTGTTCTTCGTCTGACCCGTCCCCCAGAACCTGTTTGCCTTGGGTGACCAGGGGCATGAAGCCCCCGACCACACAGCCCCCGGGATCATTCAGGCTCAAACCCTCCACCACGATAAGGTGACGGTTCAAGGGGGGGTCCATGTTCAAGGGGGGGTCCATGTTCAAGGGGGTCCATGTTCAAGGGGGGTCCATGTTCAAGGGGGGGTCCATGTTCAAGGAAGACTTTCCAGGTCTCCAGAAATGGACCCATGCAGGACTCTGCCTTATAGTCTGAAAAGTGCGGTTGTGAAATGATGCGTCCATGCAGCAATATCATTTTAAAATAACGTTTCAGGTAAAATAAACGACCTCTAGACTAGAAATAATCAGCCTCAGAACGAGTAATTCAATAATAAATGTGAAAACAAGATCAATAAACTTGATATAAGTTTTAAAATCTTGGCCAGATCAGAGAAATTTGTGAACTCCACACATTTTCACTAGAATCATTTAAATGATTTCAGCTCTGGAGTTTCCAAACTCCACTAAAAAAAAAGGTAAAATGAGCCGTTCACTCGAAAACTTCTGCTTCATGACGTCACAAGACGGAACGAAGCATTTAGAGCTTTTTAAATGTAAACAGACGAATAATAAAGAGCAACTCACACGTGTGAATGAAACAAACACAGTCCAGTTCTGTTTTTGACGCGTTTCTCACATGATTTGAAGCTCTGGAGAGTTTGTTTTGCATAATGTGGAACCTTTAAAGCCTAAAAAAACACGGTTTCAGTTTCCGACAGATCAACATATTAAAATAGAATGATTCATGTGTGTTTTAGTCCTAATTATTTGACTGTTTTCCCGTCATTGCTCTGATCTGCCTCCGCTTTCACTTCCCACTGTAATGTAGGAGTTTTCTGAATGGGTCACACGCTCGGGCAGTGTCGCGTGGCCATTTTACGACAAATGTCAAAAGTACAAACTCAGAAATTAACCGAGACTAAAACTTGCACTGAAACTAGATACTCATTTGTCGCAGGTATCAGCAGTGTTGGGAAGTTTACTTTTAAAATGAATTCCCCCACAGATTACAGATTACACACACCAAAATGTAGTTTGTAACAGAATCCATTAAGTTATTTAAGGCGAGTAATGTAATCTGATTACTTTGGATTACTTGATTTGCTGTAGAGAAGCAAAGACGAGGAAATCATAACATAAGATGCCCAGACTTTACTGAACCAAATTAAAAATATTATTGATAGAAAACGAGGAAACACAGCAGGATTTAGTCCTGTTCAATCCTGTTTGACACATTACCTGGTTTAGCCTGGTTTCCTGGTTTAGACCTTGGTTTAGAGTCCTTGGTTTTAGTCCTGGTTTAGACCTGGTTTAGACTGGTTTAGACCTGGTTTAGTTTTAGACCTGGTTGTTTTAGACCTGGTTTAGACCTGGTTTAGACCTGGTTTAGACCTGGTTTAGTCCTGGTTTAGACCTGGTTTAGTCCTGGTTTAGACCTGGTTATCCTGGTTTAGACCTGTTTAGACCTGGTTTAAAAAGTTAGACTTAAACGATAACAAACCTGGACTTGGACTTTGATGACTTGACTTGGACTTATGGCCCATTGACTCGAGACTCGACTTGGACTCAGTGCAGGAGAAAGTTCAAGTCTCAGTCGGGTCCGAGCTGCAGGACGATGAACAATCGGACCAAAATGACTCTGAATCTGCTGCGACGTAAATAAACCAACGACATATTTAAAAGACGAACACAGAGTTTCTGTGAAGTGAAACATTTATCTGAAAACTGAGTTGGTCAAAGTTTGGGCCAGTGAGTTTTTCTCGTGCTCAGAGTAAAAGTGAAAGTGTTGTGGTTGACCTGACCTGACCTCTGTTCAGGAAACTCGCCCACACGCTCTGACGGTTCGATCTGACAGGAGACGCTCTTTTACTTCTTTTTCTGTTAAAACGAAATGTGATGAAAATCTGACTGGAGCATCAGAGTTTTCAGAGCAGTGCCTCCAGTTAGCGTCACAGGGTCATCAGGATCATCAGGATCATCTGAGTCACTCACAGACGCAACTGACTCATCGATTTTCACACACAGATCACATGGTTTTGTTATGACTCTAAACATCCTGACCTCATCACAAACCAGGACTAAACCAGGTCTAAACCAGGTCTGGTTTAAACCAGGTTCTAAACCAGGTCTAAACCAGGTCTAAACCAGGACCGTAAACCAGGTACCCAGGACTAAACTAAACCAGGTCTAAACCAGGTCAGGACTAAACCAGGTCTAACCACGTCTAAACCAGGACTAAACCAGGACTCTAAACCAGGACTAAAACCAGGACTAAACCAGGTCTAAACCAGGACTAAACCAGGACTAAAAGGACTAAACCAGGTCTAAACCAGGACTAAACCAGGACTAAACCACCAGGTCTAAACCAGGTCTAAACCAGGACTAAACCAGGTCTAAACCAGGACTAAACCAGGACTAAACCAGGACTACTAAAACAGGACTAAACCAGGACTAAACCACTAAACCAGGACTAAACCAGGAGGACTAAACCAGGACTAAACCAGGACTAAACCAGGACTAAACCAGGACTAAACCAGGACTAAACCAGGAAAACCAGGACTAAACCAGGGACTAAAACCAGGACTAAACCAGGTCTAAACCAGGACTAAACCAAGGACTAAACAGGACTAAACCAGGACTCTGAAACCAGAGGACTAAACCCAGGACTAAACCAGGACTAAACCAGGTCTAAACTAAACCAGGACTGAACCAGGACTAAACCAGTTAAACCAGGACTAAACAAGGTCTAAAACCAGGACTAAACCAGGTCTAAAACCAGGACTAAACCAGGTCTAAACCAGGATTTAAACAGGAGGTCTAAACCTGGCTGTGTGGGACGTGTTTTCTTCTTCTTCTATCAATAATATTTTTAATTTGGTTCAGTAAAATCTGGACTTTTTATTTTCTTTTATCAGATAAAACTTCTTATGTGAAGATTTCCTCGTCTTTGTTTCTCTACAGCAAATCAAGTAATCCAAAGTAATCAGATTACATTACTCACTTTAAGTAATTTAATGGATTACGTTACAAACTACATTTTGGGGTGTGTAATCTGTAATCTGTAGGGGATTACATTTTAAAAGTAAACTTCCCAACACTGATAATGAGACGGGGACAGTCCACGTGACGTTTGTAGCGTCAGGTTCATTTCCAGCTGTCGTCCCTGAGCTGTTTGATGTTTCACTTCATAAAATCCAACACACAAAGAGAAAGTTGGTCAGACTCTCGTCCTCAGCAGCTTCACTGTTTCTCTGCTTATTTCTTTCACTTCTACATAAATGTGTGAACTGAGATTTTCTGTGCTCACAAAAATCACCCGGACTGGAACACGCCACAAAAACACTAACAGCTCCAACATTTCTAATCTGTTTGTAACTATTTTATTGACTATTTTGTTCCAATATTTCTGGTCCAGTTGAATGTTGAAAAGAAAAAGAAATGTTCTGCATTTAAAACCCAAATATTTGGGTTTGGGGTCAGATTTTTGACATTCAAATGTCTCTTATTCAGAAACTAGAGGAACTATTGAAATAAGTAAAGTATCAGAATGTAGGAAAGAGTTACACTCCAACAGGGTCAAGTTAAACCTGTGAGATTCTTTCAAGTTCAAGACAAAAAATTTAAAAACTCATGTTGGTAACGGAGGGAATGAAATATGCAGCACTTTTTGGTCAATAAATCCAAACAGTGATAACTCTTGGTTCTCACTTCCATATCCTTAACAAACTGGTTTGAATATTTGCTTCATATAGTTTTCTACCATATGGTACAAGATTAGGTTGAAAAACCTCTGACTTTTTGACTCATGAGATTTTTTATTAAGAAAGTTCATGGTAACGGAGGGAAAAGTAACGGAGGGAAAATTGTACAAACAAGTAGAAGGTGCAGGATTTTACATCATTTGTCTCTTTTTTCCTCTGAAAACTTTAATCCATCCATCCATTTTCTCCGCTTATTCCGGGGTCGGTCACGGGGCATCAGTCTAAACAGAGACTCCCAGACTTCCATCACCCCAGACACTTCCTCCAGCTCCTCCGGGGGACCTGAGGTGTTCCCAGTCCAGTCCAGAGACATCGTCCCTCCAGTGTGTCCTGGGCTCCTCCTCCTGGTGGGACATGACACCTCCTGAGGGACGTCCAGTGAGACATCAGAACAGACGCCCGAGCCCTCACTGCTCCTCTCCACGTGGAGGAGCAGCGGCTCTACTCCGAGCTCCTCACTCTGTCTCTAAGGGAGACGCCCAGACGCCCTGCGGAGGAAACTCATTTCTGTCGCTTGTATCGTCGATCTCGTCCTTTCAGTCACTACCCAGAGTCATGACCAGAGGTGAGAGGAGGAACGAAGACTGACCGGTAAATCAAGAGCTTCACCTTTCGACTCAGCTCCTCTTCACCACAACGATACACGACCGCATCAAAGACGCTGCACCTGTCCACCTGTCAATCTCACAACCTGTCCACCTGTCAACTTCACTCTCCTTCTCCCCTCAGTCCAGAACAAAACCCCGAGACACTTGAACTCCTCCACTTGAGGCAGAGACTCTCCACCCGGAGACGACAAGACGCCTTTTTCTGAAAACTTTAATATTACTTCAAAATGAAAGAAACTATTTCTATAAAATATGTCAGTCCTTCCAAGAACATTTTTATCATTTTAAATACTTTTTTTTTTTTTTAAATCCTGTCCCTTCATCAACAGTTCAAAGATGGAATAACACAAGATATGATGAAATACAAACATTTATTTACATGATTTTCAGGTCTTTGAAATTTGGGAAATAATTTTTGTTCCATGTTTCATTCATGGTCTGTTTTAAAACATCTGGAACTTTAGAACCAAAAATGGTCCAGAAAAAAGGTCAACAGTTTTGATAAACTCGAGTACATATGTATCTGTTCAATACACTTTTATATCAGATGAATTCACTTGAATTTTTGGCCTTGTTGTTTACTTCTGCTTAACCGGCCCCTGATCAATAAGTGAAACTCCGACACTGGACACTTTCACATCCCACTTGAAACTGCGGCTAAAGGAAAACCAGACCCGTGGACACTTTTAGTTTAGAACTGTCACTTGTTTTTGCTGTTTTTTTCTTTGTTAAATTTGCGGTGTTTCAGATGTAATGAAAAATGAACGTTCACATTTACACTGCAGCCTTGGACATGTTCATGAATATGTCCCTGTTCAATAAATACATAAATAAATGTTCAATAATGCTCAAATCCACCTTTATTTTGTCAGTTATGAATAATGTCGCGAAGGTTTGTGACTTTTAAAATATGGGTCCCCAAAAAACACTTAGAGCAGCAGCGTTTTAAAAAAAGAGTTTGACCATCTACATCAGAACTTTGCATTAAACTTCTACTAATTAAGAAAAAATACAGTTTATTTATGTATTTGCAGCGCTGGGAAGTAACCTGAGTACATGTACGGAGAATATTCAGAGTATTATTTTTGAGGACTTGAGTTCTGGAACAGTTTCTCTTTCATTTTTTTGGAATTCAGAAAATAGTTCCAGAACACGTTAGTACTCGACCCCACAGTTTAAACACAATTTAAGAAAAGAAAAAAAGAAAAGGCAGCAGCTCGTGTGGTGAGAGCAGCTGTGACTCTCAGAAGAGTCGGAAANTAGTCCTGGTTTAGTCCTGGTTTAGGTCCTGGTTTAGTCCTGGTTTAGACCTCCTGGTTTAGGGTTTAGTCCTGGTTTAGACCTGGTTTAGTCCTGGTTTAGTCCTGGTTTAGACCTGGTTTAGTCCTGGTTTAGACCTGGTTTAGTCCTGGTTTAGAGTCCTGGTTTAGTGGTTCCTGGTTTAGACCTGGTTTTAGTCCTGGTTTAGACCTCCTGGTTTAGTTCCTGGTGGTTTAGTCCTGGTTTAGTCCTGGTTTAACCTGGTTTAGTCCTGGTTTAGACCTGGTTTAGTCCTGGTTTAGTCCTGGTTTAGACCTGGTTTAGTCCTGGTTTAGTCCTGGTTTAGTCCTCCTGTCCTGGTTTAGACCTGGTTTAGTCCTGGTTTAGTCCTGGTTTAGTCCTGGTTTAGTCCTGGTTTAGTCCTGGTTTAGTCCCTGGTTTAGTCCTGGTTTAGTCCTGGTTTAGACCTGGTTTAGTCCTGGTTTAGGTCCTGGTTTAGTCCTGGTTTAGACCTGGTTTAGTCCTGGTTTAGTAGTCCTGGTTTAGTCCTGGTTTAAGTATAATATATTTATCCTGGTTTACATGATTTTTCACAGAGTAAATAAGTTGTAGAAATTTATTTAGTTTTCTTTTTTTCCTTTTTTAAACGTCTTTAGAAGATCTTAGAGTGAATCACTGAGGTTCGAAAAGAAAGAATTGAGATTTAAAAATGCCTCAAGTCCAAGTCAAATACAGTCAAGTCCAAGTCGTCTGCTTTGAGCTTCAAGTCATTTCAAGTCTTTAAACCAAAAACGTACAAAATATAGTTTAGATTTTTGCAATTTATATGAATTTTAAGATAAATTGTACTTAAAAAAATCATAGTATAATTATATTTACAGTTTTCACAGAGTTTATAAGATTTGTAGAATTTTATTTTATTTTTTTTCCCTTTTTAAACGTCTTGACAAGATCTTAAAATGAATTTTACGATCAGAATAGAAAGAATTCAGATTTAAAAGTGCTTCTCAAGTCTTTGACCTCAAGTCCGAGTCAAGTCCCGAGTCAAATACAGTCAAGTCCAAGTCGAGTCTCGAGTCACTGGTCCGTAAGTCCAAGTCCAAGTCAAGTCCAAGTCAAGTCCAAGTCGTCTGCTTTGAGCTTCAAGTCATTTCAAGTCTTTAAACCAAAAAAGCACCAAATATAACTTAGATTTTTGCAATTTATATGAATTTTAAGATATAATTGTACTTAAAAAAATCATAGTATATTTATATTTACAGTATTTATAGAGTAAATAAGTTGTAGAAATTAATTTAGTTTTTTTTTTTTCTTTCCAAACATCTTTACAAGATCTTAAAATGAATCATTGCAGTTCGAACAGAAAGAATTGAGATTTAAAAGTACTTCTCAACTCTTTGACCTCAGGTCCGAGTCAAGTCCCAAGACAAATACAGACAAGTCCAAGTCAAGTCCAAGTCAAGTCCAAGTCGCCGGCTTTGAGCTTCAAGTCATTTCAAGTCTTTAAACCAAAAAAGCACCAAATTTCGTTTAGATTTTTGCAATTTATATCAATTTAATTAAAGATATATTGTACTTTTAAAAAATCATAGTATATTTATATTTACAGTATTTATAGAGTAAATAAGTTGTAGAAATTAATTTAGTTACTTTTTTTTTCTTTTTAAATGTCTTGACAAGATCTTCAAGTAAATAATTACACTCAGAACAGAAAGAATTCAGATTTAAAAGAGCTTCTCAAGTCCGAGTCGAGTCCCAGGTCTTTATTTTATCAAGTCGAGTCTCACGTCCTACAAACAGCGACTCAAGTCTGACTCGAGTCCAAGTCACGACTCGCAGGTCCCCGTCTCTGGTCTAAAGTTACTCCCAAAAACCTGTACTTCTGAAATACTTTGAATATTTGTGGTTCCTGCAGCGTTTCTTCGGGTAAAATTTACTTTATCTGATTTTTGTGGCTTTAATCTCAAAATATCAGAGTTTAATTTGAATTATTTCACGTTTTGTGCTTCCAAATATTTCAAATTAAACGTCAAATTATGTCCAAACTGTTCATTTCACACTATTACTTCCAAAACACATTTTACTCTTACTTGTTTTTACTTTCTCAGGACATTTCTTTGTACTTTTTCTTGTCTGGGGTAACGTGTTTCGTACTCGAGTAGTTTTTGGACACCGTTTCACAGTTTTAGCTCGTAGCCACATTTAGCTCCAAACTAAAAAAAATAAACCTAAAATCCAAATGAAGTTACTTTTGGATTACTTCTGGAAGCGTTAGATCGAACAAAAGGAACATGTTTAAAAGTATTCACGATCAGAAGAAAAATAAAGGCACGTACCTTTCAGCTGCGAAGCGCGTGAACAAAAGAGCGAACTCAAAGTTTCACCAAAGGACGAACGTAAAGTCTGGACGTTTGGGGAAACACCTCGTCCTCCCACTTCCCATTCCTGCCGTAACGATGTAATGTTGAGAGGAAAAAAAAACCAAAAGGAAAAAAAAACTACGATACGAGGCCAAATTTATGGGAACCATTACGCACTCAACTGGAAAGTGAAAGTAAAAACTGTGACCCAACGGAAGCCAGCGCAGCCCAATAGTGTCACATTACATAACGCACGTCACGACAACTGAGCAGCACCGATGTTAAACTGATCAACAAATTTCAAACGAATTTCAGTTCAACACAGACATTTATTTTTATGTTTTACACGGTAACATTTTATTATAACTGTGAAATTCTGTGAGGTGAAAGACGTGAATAGAAAAAAAAAAAAAGACTAAATCCTCCAAGTAAAAGTGTCACAGAGAAAAACACCGAGTTATTTCTTTTACACAGTCTGTGTGTGTGTGTGTGTGTGTGTGTGTGTGTGTGTGTGTGTGTGTGTGTGTGTGTGTGTGTGTGTGTGTGTGTGTGTGTGTGTGTGTGTGTGTTTGCACTGAAAAAAAAAGGTTGCTGGATTTGCATAAAAAAGTTATGGAAAGCGGCTGCAATAAAATGATGTTTAGGCTTTGAAACTTTTTTCGATCCTCTTATACACATATTTTTCTCAGAACATGAACGTCACTTTTTCATGTTGATGAAATTTGAACAAATCCTGCTGAATGTGCATATTTATCTTATGGTACCTTATCATGAAATGTATAAGTCTGTATAATTTAATTTAATTTAATTGATCTAATTCTGTAAAATAATACAAAAACAGTCTTTAGTTTTCCACAGTTCTGTTTTGTCTTAAACAGAATCAAACACACAGAGACACACAGTTTGGAGCTGGACAGTGTGAAGATTTATTCCAGTGAAGCTCTGGTCTCTGTGGACACAGAATCACACATGATGATCACATTCTGATCATCTACTCTGTTCTACATGTTTAAATACACTTAAAGTATTTATTACTACAATAATGGACCAGAACAGAAGAACAAGAACATTAGAAGTGTATCTGCAGAAACAAAACTCACCATGTGCTGCTTTTCTTCCTCTAAACACAGTAACAGGGAGGGCATCTGGTATAAAGTCTCCTAATGCCACATCACCCTGTAGAAACATGATCACTGTTTCAATAGGAAGTTCATTTTGAAAAATTTTAAAATCATTTGAGTTGGTTTACTTACTTTGTTCATCTGTGCTCTGTGGTTTGTTGGTTCAAACATCTTCCTTTTTTCTGAAACATCAACTGTAACATTCATGAACTTCCCCACAGCTGCAGCAGAACCTGGACGTCTCTGTGTTTGTAGACGACTGGAACAAACACATTCACATCTGATACAAGTGTCACACTCTTGTAGATGAACAGTCAAAGACAGTTTGTTTCAAGGAAACAGTCCTGACATTAACTCTAATTTCAAATAAAACAACACACTGAAAAAACAGTCCAAGAGGAGTTGCTCAAATTGCAAAAACAAATTTGACAACAATGACATCACTTTTTAACATTTCTGTGTCCAGCATGTTTAAATCTTACAAAGGTCACTTGATTGTGGTGGATGTGAGACCTGCAGGTTTTAATCAGGTTGAGGAAACATGATTTTATTCTAATCTGTGGTGAGGCTCGTCCCTCTGGAATTCTCCTCCACAAAACATCTGGAGGGAAAATTCAGATGTAACAGGACACAGGACAGATCCAGGAGCAGAGACACACAGTGTGGAGCAGGAGGATCATGAAGCTGATCTGGAGGTGAGACTTTTTAAAGATTTTATTATGTGCTTCTTCGGCCTAGAAAGTCGTCACTGTTAAAACATGTTTGTGGTGTTTTATTTGAAATTAGAGTCAATGTAAGGACTGTTTCCTTGAAACAAACTGTATTTGACTGTTCATCTACAAGAGTGTGACACTTGTATCAGATTTGAATGTGTTTGTTCCAGTCGTCTACAAACACAGAGACGTCCAGGTTCTGCTGCAGCTGTGGGGAAGTTCATGAATGTTACAGTTGATGTTTCAGAAAAAAGGAAGATGTTTGAACCAACAAACCACAGAGCACAGATGAACAAAGTAAGTAAACCAACTCAAATGATTTTAAAATTTTTCAAAATGAACTTCCTATTGAAACTGTGATCATGTTTCTACAGGGTGATGTGGCACTAGGAGACTTTATACCAGATGCCCTCCCTGTTACTGTGTTTAGAGGAAGAAAAGCAGCACATGGTGAGTTTTGTTTCTGCAGATACACTTCTAATGTTCTTGTTCTTCTGTTCTGGTCCATTATTGTAGTAATAAATACTTTAAGTGTATTTAAACATGTAGAACAGAGTAGATGATCAGAATGTGATCATCATGTGTGATTCTGTGTCCACAGAGACCAGAGCTTCACTGGAATAAATCTTCACACTGTCCAGCTCCAAACTGTGTGTCTCTGTGTGTTTGATTCTGTTTGAGACAAAACAGAACTGTGGAAAACTAAAGACTGTTTTTGTTTTCTTTTACAGAATTAAATCAATTAAATTAAATTAAATTATACAGACTTATACATTTCATGATAAGGTACCATAAGATAAATATGCACATTCAGCAGGATTTGTTCAGATTTCATCAACATGAAAAAGTGTTGTTCATTGTTCTGAGAAAAATATGTGTATAAGAGGATCGAAAAAAGTTTCTGTTGTGTTGTGCCCTCATTTTATTATTTGTATTATGATAGAGACTTATGATTGAACCAATGGTGTGTAAGAACACTTGATCACGTGAGGCACAAAATTATGAATGGCCTGAACCTGTGAATAAAAGTGTGTGTCCGTGGGGAATGTGGTAACCACACAAAAAGACAATACGAAGTGAACTGTGTTTTAATGCTCACGACAACGCTGCGTAAAAGGATCCTGCTAACAGGTTCTGGGCCCAGAGTCATTTTACGCAGTTTGAGGATCGGTCTCCAGGTGAATGTCGCGACGGTAAATGCTGCACCTGAGTTCAGCCACTGACCGCAAACATGAGTAAAAACAGAGAAAAGGACACTGTGCCAAGCCGCTGGGGCAGAGTCGTGTTTGATGGTGATGAAAAAGGATACGAGCTGTGGGAGACAAAGTTTTTGGGCCACCTCCATCTCCAAGGATTGAAGGACACTATTTTACAATCACCTGGTCCTGACGACGAAGATGATGACGAGAAGAATGCTGAGGCCTATGCGGAGTTTATCCAGTTCCTGGATGACAAGAGCCTGTCGCCGGTAATGCGCGAGGCGCTGAGGATTCTCCGGGAATATTACGCTGGCAAAGGGAAGCCCAGGGTGATAAACTTGTACACTGAATTAACGTCTCTACAAAAGTCACCGATGGAAAATGTCACTATGTAATCAGAGCAGAGACTGCGATTACTGCGTTGCGAAGCGCAGGTGAGGCGCTCAGTGACGGACTTTTGACAGCAGTGGTTTTAAAGGGGCTGCGCCAGAGACATTTAAACCATTTGCCATTCATGTTTCTCAGAGTGAAGATAAAATGACTTGCGGAGTTTAAGACAAAGCTCCGGAGTTATGAGGACATTGAAAATATGCGTGCAACTGTGTCTGAGGACAACGTGATGAAGGCGAGAGCGCAATTTGGCACAAGGCGCGCACCAGAGAGCGCGAAGGACAGTGGCAATACGGACATTGAGTGTTATAAATGTGGTGTCAGAGGCCACGTAGCCAAAAGCTGTCCGCGCAAACAGTGGTGCAGTCACTGTAAAAGTAACACACACAACAATGCGACGTGTAGACGGAGGAAGCAGCGGGATGACGCACAGCGAGCGTCCGACGCGGAGAGCAAAGAATATGCTTTCCGGATAAGTGACTCGGAGATGCAGGTGCCAGATGTCAAAAGCAAAGGTCTGATGGTGGATGCGGGTGCAACGTCACATATCATCACAGACATCGCCAAGTTCAAGAGGTTCGATGCCAGTTTCCAGGCCGGGACGCGTTGTGTGGAGCGGATGGCACCAGGAGCAACGGAGTCGCCAAGCACAGAGGCGACGCAGAGGTGTGGTTGGTCGACAGCAGGGGGCACGTCTCAAAACAACGCTGAGGAGGACCTTGTACATCCCAACTCATCCTCAGGATATGTTCTCTGTGAAAGCTGCCACCACGTGTGGAGCCACGGTGATCTTCAGTGAGAAGAAGAACGTTCTGCTACATAAAGACTAAAAGGCACTAAATGTCCCATACATGTACACAACAAACTGTACTATCTGCACACATCAGAAAGTGACAGTGAAGACCAGTGTAACAAATGTCATGATTTGCAGACTTGGCATGAAATTCTAGGACACTGCAATTTTGCAGATATTATGAAATTAAAGCATGTTGTAAGTGGTGTGGAGATGAAGAATGAGGGAAATAAAACTCCACCACACTGTGAAATCTGCACACAGGGGAAGTTTATTCAAACTAGAAACAGAGGCCGGATACCAGGGCCAAAGCACCTCTGGAAATGGTGCACACAGATTTATCTGGTCCTGTAGACCCTATGTCCAGAGAAGGTCATAGGTACTACACTATCCTTTACAGAGGATTCTTCTAGTGCAGTGTTTGTATACTTTCTGAACAATAAGAGTGACACAGTACAAGCTACTGAGAAGTTTCTAGCTGATATGGCCCCTTATGGGCAGGTGAAATGTATGAGATCAGATAATGGTACAGAGGACACTGGGAAAGAGGACCAAGCATAATGAACCGGAGTGAGACCTCAGCCCCATACTGTCCCCATCAAAATGGTACTGCTGAACGCAACTGGAGAACTGTGTGACATGGCAGGTGTGTGCTCATTCAGAGTGGGCCACCTAAGATGTTATGGACTTATGCTGTCCAGACTGCAGCTGTAGTGAGGAACAGGTGCTTCAGCAACCGCACTAAACAGACTCCTGTCTACATGTTAACTGGCAGCAGCCTAATGTTTCCAGGATGCAGAAGTTTGGACAATTGTGTTACACATTTAAACATCAACAAAAAGGAAAGTTGGACACAAGATGTGAGAAAGGGATTTTTATCGGATATGACAAGAATAGTCCAGCCTATTTGGTGTTACTATTCCAGCAACAGAAAAGTAGAGAGACACAGACTTGTGGAGTTTATATCCAAAACAGACACAGATGTGCTGGATGCTGATGAAGATGATTTTGTGGTCAACAGACAATTAAAACCCCACCTGTTAGTCCACATGTAACTGAAAAACAAGTAGATGTCAAAGAGCAAAGTGATAACCAGACACAAATGGTGAATAAAGAACAGGAACAGGCACCAAAAAAGGAAAATGGGGAACATCTATGTGAGCAGAGGCGATACCCAGCTGGAGAAAGGAAGAGACCTGGTTATTTAGATGATTATGTTTGTGGTTTTGAGGATGATGAGACCAATATTGACTATTGTTATAGACTATTATGTAACTTACCTCAAACATACAAAGAAGCAGTACCTCACCAGATGCAAAAGACTGGGTTAATGCTATGGATGAAGAGATGCAGTCATTAAAAGACAATGTAACGTTTACCCTGAGCACATTACCGAAGGGCAAAGCTGTAGTGGGGGTAAATGGGTCTATGCACTCAAAAAGAACAATGATGGATCTGACAAATACAGGAGTGTATGTATTTAAAACAATTTATGGAGTGTTTTGACGGTCGTAAATATTCTTGCAAAGTCTATGAGGACAACCAGGGAACTATAGCTTTGGCAAAGAATCCTGTAAAAAGACAACGCTGTAAACATGTGG